TGCTGTTTGAACTGGGAGTTAATCTCCATTTTATTTCCAGAAAGAGACTGCATGTGGAGGAAGATTAAAAGTAGAGCTCTTAATCTACAGACTTTATGACAGAAAATACTGCATCGCATGGCAGTCTAAGGGAAGGAAGACAATTTTCTAACTAGATGCCAAGAAAAAGAAATATAAATTCCTCCTTTGACCAGCTGAATAAACAAAGAGGAAACAGTTTCTCTACATCTGTAGAATTCTGTTTTAAAATTATTTAATTCCAAAATATTCAATTCAGTGATCAGTTCTGATACAGTAATGCTTTCCTGCAAATGCTTTCCTGCACTACTGAGACCTTAACAAATTACACTTTTAATTTACAAATGTTTATGGAGTCTTCACCTAAAGTAGCACTTTTCAAACAAACGAAATCACTAGGAATTTGAAAGAAATTCCATTTAGATAATATATTAGAAAAGCAGAATTCAGTAACAGATAAATATTTTTACAGCTGACACTATGAGTATAGATATTTGTAAGTATTGCATCTAAGAGTATATGCTGTAAATTGTGACTTTAAAGTTGGCACATGAACAAAACAATTATTTCATAGCGAACAGATAAAAAAAAAATCAAACTAGAAATAACTGTATCAACTCACCAAAGACTAAATTTTATTTTTGTTTTCTGTTAAAAAGAACTTCTTATCTGAAAGTAACTTGGGCAGGAAGCATGAAGACATGTAAAATTCCCTAGGGGTGCATATAAACCTTTGAATCAGGAGTGATATTCAGGCAAGGGCAAACGTTGGCTAACATAAACCCCTACAGAGACATTAAAACGATGCTGCTGAAGCCTTTGAAAGGGTAAGAAAGCTATCTGTATCCAATATGCCAATCAGTATGTCAATGGGAGGATTTAACAGCAAGACGACCCAAAATATGTTTCAGATGACTGATCACGAAAACAAATACTTCCAGCCTTCTGCTGCTGTTGGTACACACATTAACTTCAAGAGGTGAAGAGAGAAAAACATCCTGCATGCAGAAAGCGGACAGAAGTTATGATGTAACTGAAGTACTGAGTCAAATATCTCACGTATATATAGCCCCCAGCAGCGATACCTCGCAAGGCACTCTGCACTTCTTAGTACAAGATCTGTAAGAGTTAATTAACTGTGATAAGTACTCAAACCTCTCTTCACTCCAAAGATGGAAGGGCTCAAACATCTTCCAGCAGAATCAATGGAAGAATTTCTGCAAGTGATGAAAGATTTAGCACAAACTTGAAAACCCTGAGTTGCAGAAATACTTCTGTTGCCCCTACTTGAAAACCAAGAAAATATTTAAAGAGTTTTGAAGATAATTACTTAAGATTCAGAGACCTTATCCCCTAATTAACTGGTTCCAAATAATACACAAGTAAATGCATAAACCATCACTGAAAACAGTCAGAAATATTATTCAATCCAAAATTATTTAAAAACATGTCATGGGTTTTACAATTTGACTTGAAGTATAAATTTCAGGGGTTTAATAATCTTTGTCCATTGCTAGTCGATGTAACGTACATCAACATATGTAATACCCTCTGCTGTCAGAACAGAAAATACCAGGTATTTCATGCTCACTTTTTAATTGAGTAGATCTCAAGAACACACTGATACAACAATGGCTGCAAGGATAAGCTATATTCGATGAGAAAATTAACACATACTTGTTTAAATGCTGCCAAAAGGAGGAGGTAGGTTATCCACAGTTGCTAACTGTACTAGTTATTGTCTTCATTTTAGAGCTGAAGTACTGTAAAATATTTAGGGCATGCAGTATTTTTTACTATAAATACCATTCTGCTGCTAATGTTGTTAGAGGAAGAAGCATAAATTTAAGAATCTGTATAGTATGGCAAAAGTTACAAAAACAGGGCAAGATTCAAAATCCGTTAACAAGACCTCTTCCACGAAACAGTTCTTTTTTTTTACTAACTATATTTGGCATAAACATGTTCTGGTCATCAAGTCTGAATACCTGTAGTAGTGCCACTAAGTGTAGTACTGTTTTATGACTAAGGGTATCATTACACACATTAATCTCAAGTAGTATGATTGTGCTTTTCTAATTGTTTTTAAAAAATTGGAAATCTGAACTTTTAATGTAGTTGAACTTTCAATGTATCTTATTTGTAAAACTTACAAACTTTCACAAGACAGTCTCTCTCTTCTTTCTTCTGGACAGCAATGAATAGAAACTAACACAGACAACACTTGTCTCTTATCAGTAAAAGCTGTATTACCTCCAAATACTCAAGCTAGAACTTTTTCATTACTTTTTCTCCAGATGCCTCTCCTCTTCTGCAGTCACACCATTAGTTTAATGACAAGTCATTAATAAAATTCATTAAAAGGATTTTTTTCAAAAATAAAGAAAAATAACTACACTCTTAAATTCAGTTTTAGAAAGCCTGAGCGACCTAGGAAAAATGAGCCTCCCTCTCATTGTTGAAAACTTTAGACTTTTTAGTACTCTGTAATATACATACACCTACAATGATTCACAAATATGGCTTCTGACTCTGGAAAATCCTACTAAGAGTTGTCAAACTAACTTAAATACCTACACTCAAGACTAAACCAGATTATGTGACAGTCTCTCTGAATTTCTTGCTCCACGATGCCCTCTACTGCAGATCTGCAGAACAGACTCAGAGCAGGCATTTCCAAATGCAAGCGTGCAACTGTGCAGGAAAATAACTGCACTCCAGTAATCATCCTGGATGCATAAATAGTGTATTTCAGTTTAGTGGGAGGAAAAAAAAAATTTCAATACGAAAGGAATTTTTAAAGCTATTTCATCAATGTTACTGAGTGTCACGGTAATCATGTGGAACAGAAAATAGCTTCTCCATTTCAAACAGGCAAGTGTCAGAATCCTGTTTAAATTTGCTCCAAGATATTCTAATGGTTCTAATCAAGAAAGTACCTCTTTTGTAAAATAGATTTCTCTGATATATTGTTAGACCTCTGTATTTTTACAGACCTCTTCCATAAGGGGAAATACACGAGGTGAGTAGCTTTCACTAAGAAAAATAAAAAAATGTCTTTTGTTATCGCCACAGGAAGTTTTAATGAAACACCTCTGTAACACAGAAATAATGATCTCGAAGCACCATATTCCCATTAAATCTCATCCACCACATATATAAACTGATACCACAGGATTTGTTGCACAAACTTTAGGACTAGAATGAAAAGAACCAAGTTTAGCAGCAACCTCCTTTATTAAAGCAATTTCTTTTAGAGAAAAAAAACAAACAATCAGCAACAAAAACAAATTAATTACCACCAAGCTGCTCTAGCTCACATTTCTACCCTTATTTTTCTGTTTTATTTTTGTAATATTTAGGCCCTTCATCTTTGAAAGAAAGACAACAATTCTTGAAATGGATTTATCCCACTGCTATTGAGCTGCACAGGAAAAAAAAAATCAGACCTAGAACTTTGGCTATAATACTACTGATGCAGGGATGGTCTTTTATGCTCACATGAACACACCTTGAAGCTTGTTTGGGAGTTTCAGAAAAATATATGTTCTGTAAGACTTTAATTAAAGAAATATTCTTTTGAGCAAAATGAAAAAAAAGCAATTAAAACTTATTTGGGAGTGGTGACACGTGAAGCAAATGTTTGCATGATTCTCTCACAATTTTTATTGAAAAAATCAATACTCTAGCAGTTACAAATGAAAACAAGCTCAAGTCACAAGTGACAGAGCTCCAGATCCCTGCTCCTTGTGAGGTCAGACCTCACACTTGACAACTGGGATGATCATACATCCATACTGGGCAGGACTGTTGTGATAATTACAGCATAAGGACCACAATCCCTCAAAGACTGTGATGAACGCCACTAAATATTGATAATGCAAATTTAAAAGCTCACTACCATGGTAGAATGATAGAAAAAAAATGAAAAAAATGAGATGCTTATTAGATAACCTCTAACAAAGCTGTACCAGTGTACAATAGAAATTAATACAAGTCAACATTTGCTTAGAAGGCAGATTGTTAACATACAGGGCAAGCCCAACCGTTCGGATGCATCTGTTTCACAGTTTTCTGATCTATTTGCATTGTCTGCAAAAGAATTGTGTGACGTGGTGTTGTTCTCCCAAATCAAATAGCTCCATCCACTCAAGAGTCACAGCCTATGACACTTCAGGATGCTCACAGCAGTTACGAGAACTTGAACCGCAATTACAAAACTGTTCCTACAAACACTCTTTAAAATCAGTGGGAAACTGAGGAACTCCACAATTGTAAAAGTGACAATTTAAAGCATTCTTCTGTGGCTGTTCCTGACAGCGAATAAACTTCATTGCTATAAAAAAAAAGGACTAAGCTAAGGCTACACAGGAGATACCTTGTTCTTTATGAAGCTTAATTTTTATTATTCTGCACTCTTTATAAAAAGGGAGAAGGAAGACAGAGGGAATATTATCCTTCCTAAACTGAGAGTCCAGCTGATTGATTATCACGTTAGTGCTGCAATATAGGTCTTGACTCATGAAGAGCACTCTAGAAGTGGTAACAGCAAAGTCCCAAAAACTTTATGTCCTTCACTATACTGGACATTTCCCCCAATTCCAGTGGGCTGTGCATTTGAAAAACAAATGTTCTGAATTATTCAAAGTTCTTTGCCATCAGAGCTAATGTATAGTTAATCAAGTCACATCGCTGGTTACACTCTGAGCAGAGGCAAGTGGCTCGTCATCAAATACTGGAAAACAAGTCCCAAGTCATAAAAGAGAAAATTTACTACAAGAGATCTGAATGTCTGCATCAGTTTCTTATTCTTTTCCTACGAAGAAATGGTTCTAGGTAGCCTAGATACCAAGATTTTTACTGAAAATCATGTAATGAAGCACACATAATAAATTGTAGTTTGGTATCAAAAGATTTCAGTGACTTTTAGGACTTTAAGTGACTTACTGTCACTAGCTTTTATGACGAGCTTAAATGCTTACCTACTAATTCCTTCACGGATATCATTCACAGCTGCCAACAGTTTCTGCAGACCTAAAAAAGCTTCTTCAAATGAAGACTTTGTAGTCATAGTTGCTGCATTGGGGTCCAACTTTTGGAAAATTTCAATACTAATATTAAAAAGAGAGACATTGAAAAGCAGTTAATAAAAACCCTCAAAACTCAGAGAAACTCAGTATCTATTGTATGGATTTTATTTTGATTATTTAATTAAAAACAAGGTCAAATGCATATTATCTGAAAGTTGTAGAATAAGTAGTAAAAAGACCATGCCTCACAATCGTATTTCTCTGTTAAAAATTTTACTTGGCAACTGTATTCTATAACAGTATTTTCCCTTTGACTTAAATAGATTTTTTTTCATTAAACTTCACTTGAGAATGAAACAGTCTCTTCATGCCTGAGTGCACCCAAGCCTGTCTTAGAAGAGAATTGTTAGGTTAAAGAAGCAAAGTCAAGTGCTTTCCATCAATTTTCCAAGCAGCTTCATTCTCCAGATTTACTGGAATGGGCTTGCCACCTTCCCTGCAATGGCTGCGCTGGGACTACGAGCTGCAGTGCACTCAGGAAGAATTATCCCCACAGGTGTGAGATCAGTATATTTTCTTGACACAAGCAAGAAAAGTGTGAAGAAACCTTTGATTCTAAAATTTTATCCTCTTTTCACAGCATGGTCCTTAACAGGTGGCAAAAGCCAACAGTTCAGTTGCATTTTTGCTATAAAGCAGCACACTTGAAAGAGTTTTTCCTCAATGCCTGTATGAAACCTTCAAATTCATGATTACTATCCCAGTAAGAGGACCTGTTGAGTAAGAGACTGTTGTCTGGCGCAGATCCTCAGCTGCCCTGAACACTACACTAAGCCAACTTGTAACCAGCTTCAATTCTGATTAATTTGTGCTGGTGTGAGCCAAAGAGGAGCATGCTGGTGCAGCTCTGCAGTACATTCAAATGCTAGTGTGGAAATGGCATTGGTAGAGATATCATCACTGTTTATTAGGTGAGTCCTTAACCGACCACCAAAAATAGAGTTCCTTTCTGCTTAACATAAATCAGAGTCCCTCCTTTGAAAATATTTCAGATTTAAGACTACAAAAAAGAAAACACAGTATCTATTGAGATTCTGTGATAGCACCTAAAAGCACGGTATTGCAGTGATTTTCAAGCAGATTTTTCAAAAATAACCAAAATTAAAAAAAAACACCTAGATGGAGGACGGTTTAATTTAATGCAATTTCAAGTTTATATGAGAAAGGAAATTCATCACTAGATTCTGCATTTGGATTTTATAGAGTGAAGGGTTTTGCTTAACGAAAAAACTATTTCAAATTAAGTTAAAAAAAAAACAAGTTTGCATAGGCTAGTATACCTCCACCAGGAAAACTTAGAGCTTGAATGCCTCTTCTTCTATGGATAAAGATGAGTTTTCCATGAATGTCTCACATTTGTGGCTCTTACAGGGTTTTCAACATCATTCTCTAAGGAAACTTATTTCAGCCATGGTCCAGAAAAAAGAGCAGTAGATTAGACAGATCACTGACTGTATCCACATAACAATTTGCATGCTCCTAACTTCTTTGTGTGAGAAGATGTGTGATTTTTTTTTCATCAATTTTGATTAATTACTAATAGTTTCTTCTCTAAAATAGGAAAAAAAAACCCCAGTTTCTAAACTGTGCCTGTTTGAAAGTTACATAAGGTCATGTAGAAGTTCTGAACTTTAGCATACCGTACCTGTACAAGTTTATTGTATTCCATACACCTTCAAGGACTGACCAGATTTCCTGGTGCCTGCTTTCTTGAGCCACATGAAAGCTTGGATGTAACTTCTTTTCTTCTTCAGGGTTTTGCAGATTTGGTGTCATTGCTTCCATTTTTTCACATGCAGCATTTTCTGAAAGAACCATGATGTCTTCTGATAAATCCTGCTCACTGTCTGACCTCACCTTATAAAACAGTTTAGCAAACAAATAATGAATGTATTTGGTTCCTAACTTAAAAAAATAAAACTTGAACACTTCTATTTTTTTTTTTTAAAGCAATGCTCAAAAAAACAAGGCAGATCTCTTCTAGTCATAACCCTCTTTACTATAGTCTCTGCATCTAAAGCATCTCTCTGTCTTTCATCAAGTCTTCCATAAGTATATATTGGTATTTCTACAGACAGGAAACTGAAGCAAAGGGAAACCCTATGCTAAAGCTTCCCAGGCATAGTAAACTGGTATAAATGAGAACAGCTGCTTACTCTTACTCCCTATCCCATGACTGATGGCACATCTTCCTTTGCAACAGCACAGAGTACTCAACTACTCATTTGGTAAACTGGTTCAGAAAATTGGTCCAGGTTAAACTGAAACTGATCTGGCACCACCGAGTCTGTAAAAGGGCAGTTCTTTGTGAAGAACAGGAGGAAACAAGTTTTCAGACAGAAAGCCTGCTTCTTATGGCAGCACTGTTCACAGAACTGCAGACTAAGTGGCTGACTGCAAGGGACACAGAAGTTACAGCACAATAGACCATCAAGACTCCCCAGGTCATCCTTTGTCTCCCTGACTGCCTTCTTCCTTTCTCCTACAGCTTTCTCCAGAACTGAAAAGAACTTTTTACAGATTTTCTGACCTGTATTCTTTCCCATATATAGAAATGTTTCAAGTCACTCATGCTCAATATTCCATTTTTTATACCATTACATATGGAACTAACAGTAACTACAAGCTAAGATACTGAAATTTCTTCCACAGCAACTCAGAGATGACGTGGAAGTAAAGATACACTTCTCAGAACACAAAAGGTATTGGGACATCCCCCCCACTATCTATCACAAAGCACGTGATACAAGCGAGTCCTTCGTGTAGCACCAGAGCTACCAAGACAATGAAAGCTGAAACAACACATCTAGGAACAGCAGTGTTCAATCAACAACTGAAGTGGAAATAGCAATTTTAATTGTAATCTTAATTTTTAAGGCCCTTTTCCATCATCTAAGATATTTTTCCTGAAAGTAGCTAAATAATGTTTTTCAGTCACCCTCCTGATACTAATAAATTTATATTAGAGAGAAAAAAAAGTCTACCAAGCATATACATAAAGGCAGATATTTGCGACATGAAGTTAAATTTGAGGTCTATCAATTTTGAAGACACTCTACAAAACAACATTTCCTGAAATAATTTGTTGAAATTATGAAAATAATGTAGAAATCTAAGCCAGGTTTGCTATATAAACACAGAGCAACTTCAAGAAAATGTTAGGTGAACAAATACTAAAGCTCCCCCTACCTCTGTAACTGTTTGGTGTAGCTTATTCACTTCAGCATAAGCCTGGGGAAGCACACCATTATAGTCTGACCTTGAACTGAAAGCATGGAGTAATTTTTTTGATTCCTGGAGCAAGATACTCGCTGTTGAGAAGTCAACTGTTTTACCTGATATTTAGATATGTGAACAGAAAAAAAAGTATTAGATGTTAGGAGTTATCAATCTTACTTGGCAAATTCAATACTCAAATATCTGAATTAACTGAAGCCTTGAAAATGGTTCAGAAGCATTAGGTAAACAGTTTCAAGAGAAACACTGTGCGTGTGAGGTTAAGATTTCTCACTTCTTAATCAAGTCTTCCAAATTTATCCCAGGATCTGGCAAGAGGATCAACTGGCATATCTAAAATAATTCTGCAGAACAGCAATATTCCAGAAGAGGTACATCTGTGAAAAATCAAATTCTTAAATACATCTTTAAATAAATGAAATGGTTTGTTGGGTTTTCTTTGTTGGCTTTTTTTGAGAACAAACCTCCCTGCCCTCATCTATGATGCTAAGTGTTTATCCTCCATAATTTATTTGGCAAATGCAGAGTAGAAAAAAGACAGCAGAATAGTGATTACAAAAAAAAATTCAGAAATAATTTTTGTGATTTTTTGCAGGTGCTGTTTAGATCATCTGGGACCAGAGCCTGGATAGACTTGATCTTGGCGGAAGCCTTCTTTTTATTTCTCTTTTTTCTTCAATGTAATTCATAGCTCATCAACTTCAGTTCAATCCTGGTTTTAAGGCTACAAAAACAGTGTTGCGATTTTGTCACCCATCTAAGAAATAAATTGTGGATCAATACAAAAGTAGGTAAGACTGTCCAAGGTATGGCTCCACTGGGATAATCTTAAATTGGAAAAAAAAAACAGAAGAGGATGGAACCATTTAAACATACAGAGTATGTGCCTTTTCAAAGCATCTGCTCCTGTAGCTACTAAAATCAGAAGAGTGAGGTTTTTTATAAGTTTATAATTAACGTTCTCAGAGATTCTTACCTGTACAAAGGTGTTTATAGAGACATTCAATGGTTGAAAGTAAACTCCTTGGCACAACATGACCAAAAACAGCCACCCAGTGCTTTTTATAACACTTCAGCAAGTTTGCTAATGTCCATGGTGGCTTCAGATACACTATCTGAAAGATAATGTGTTATAAATTCAACGGCTGATTTTCATATATAGACATATTCCTATACACTTCAGAACTGCTCTGCTCTTTAATGTTACAACTCGTGCTTGCTGAAGTAGAATTCCAGTGATCCCTCAGAAATAAGGCTATATTCAGATTCAACAAGTTTATCTCCTAAAAAAATTTGATGCAAGAGCATCATGGGTTAAACAGATGATGTTCATATAGAAGTGTTCAGTGTACAATAACAACCTTTGAACATTCTCATGATTTTCGGTTCCCCTTTTCTCAAACATTTCAAATACTCCTTAGTTACCTCTTAAAGCGATTTAATGTGTTACTTGTGTACAAAAGCCAGAACAATAGTAAGTATGCCTTTGATTTTCCAGTATTGTTAAAAGAGTGAAAATAAACACAGTTTTTGTAGTGTGACTATATATACATGAAATAATATATGCATATTGTAAAAAAATTTACATTTATTACTCCCAAGTGAAACCAGAGTTTGAAAAGATGTTAACAGAAATCAACTAAGTTCATCAAAAGTGCCTAAAAGCTTAAAAACTAATCAAAGCCCTATCTTGTGGAATGACAGTCATCCCATACAACTGATTTTTTTTTTTGAAAGCCACAGAAGCTTATCTGCAATAAATTTAAACGATGAACTAACTCCTACTAACTATAAAATGGAAACTAAACCAAAGCATGGGTAATTTGAAAATGCCTTGTACGTGAGTATTTATCTTCGGTTAACAATACTTTGGAACGCGTGTTTGGAACTTCTCCTTAACACCCGTGTAAATCTGTATTTGTTGTAACCAATTTAGCTGTGAACAATTTTATTTACATAGTATCTAAAACCATCTGTTCCAATGGAGAAGTGTCTACAACAACAGTGCATCAATATTATGTCCTTCAAGAAATTATTCCATCAAATTTTATATATTTACAATGCAGTCATTTAACTAGAAGAGCCAAAATAGAAATTTCATGCAACTAATACGAAGAGTTTTGAAAAATTACACTGAACAGCCAGAATCTCTGTTACTGTATTATTAAGACTGTTGAAATACTGCACAGTCATTACTGGTCACATAATCTTGTTATAAAATGAAATATGAAAACTGAACACTGAACTGTTCCCTGATAGTGAACTGTTACAATAGGGAACAAAATGACTTAGCTGTTTGGCTTAGCACGGGTACTAATATAATTAAAATACCAAGGACGTTTAAACTTCTTCATACTTAGAATATCAAGCAAGATGACATAAGAAACTACCTCCATCCATAGGTTTCCAAATGCAATTTTCATTTCAGTCTCCAAAATACAAGATAAAGCTTCTCCTAAGTTCTTTTCAAGGTCTGGAAGCATATTTGGGAATCGCACAGTAAGACTAGCATCACCTTCTTGGGTTTTCTCAAATTCTGTATCTGTCAAACCAATGATAGTAAAAAGTACTTATTGCAACTGTTTCTGTGTCTGATTTATGTTGATAGTGTACAAACAATTGTCCTCATAAATAAAGACAGAGTGCACTTTAAGTTATAAAGCAGATGGGCTACATCTAATCAGGTTTCAAGTATTTCTAGTTATACCCACTTGTACTGTGGGTATTTTTAATTATGATTCAAGATTCATTTAATTATGATATCAAGAAGATAAATTTCCCCAGAGTGTTATTCATTTGTGATTTTACTCCACTTTTTTTTTTTTCCTTAAATAACTTAGATTATATACAGCCACTGGGGTTATCAGCAAATATACAAAGATCACTTCTCAATACTATGAGCTATATTTGTATCTTTGGAAAAATGAAGAGGCAACCCAAGAATCAAGTTCTACTGTTTGGGATGCAGGTAAAGGTATTAGCATAAAATGTAATGAGAAATCTCAGCATACTGAATTTTACAGCTGCTAAGAATAGGATCCAAACTGGCTCAACTGGAAAAAACCTCTTTTCAGTCCTAAAGAATTCAGGACACCTTTTAAATGGCTATAAAAACAGGAAATTCATCCTGTATTTTTTCTATAAAACAAAAATACATCATATTTTAATTTCCTAGAACTCGTAAGAGACAGACACTTTAATAAAGGTCTGACTTTCAGAAAATCACTTACCTTTGAAAACAAAGTCTGCCACAAAGAAAAAGCATTCCTAAGGATTCAAAGCATATGAAAACTGAAGTTTAGTAGAAGCTCTTTTCCCTCTCCTACACTGATCATTACATGTCTCAAAAACCACCATATGTATAGCTGCACGTGAAACAAACTTACCACATTTTGACTGTTGCAGCTCAGAGCTTTGGTGCCTGTTTACATTCAGATTCTGTAGAGCAGTAACCAAATCAGCTTTGCAGAATGCCTTGACATCACTCACAATGGCTTTATTGCACAAATTTTTATCATCCCTAGGAGAAGAGAATTGGTGACATAAAACTGACATTATTACGTAATAAGTAATAAAAGCCACACACTGAAAAATTTGTCTTCAGTAAGCTTATTTTGTGAGCTTCATTATATACAAAGTTTTCTTTCACAATCAATAAGAAGCAGTTCAAAAAATTAAAACAGAAAATTAACCTAAGCAGCTATTCTGAAAAAAAATAGAAACATACTAAAAAATGTTTCAGGCTCTAGGTTTGCTTTAAGGAAAGCACAGCTATAAATACTACGCAATAGTATTATTATATAGCTATAAATACTAGCAATGATGCCTAGTTGCTATGATCTTAGAGTGCAAACAAGGCAATGATTCTAGGACACTAATTCCTGTCAATACATCCTCATTTTCCACACCCTTTTTTACTATTCTACTGGCCAAATCATTGTCCCAGTTGCCTCCCTGAGGTATACACTGCTCCAGCAGAACTACTGTAAGGATGCAGCACCAAGTTGGAGCCTAGTACTTTCTCAAAAATTCCCACTGATAAAGGGATTTTCATATGACAAGCACTTCTGAAGCACCTCCTGTTCCTCATCCAGAGAATCCTAAAAGCATTATTGATAACCCTAGCGACAGTGCAATTGAAACGGTATTTTCAGCATCAAGTCAATCCACACACATCACCTTACACAAAGCAACGGATACCCAGCATGTTAACCCTGCTTACTGAAACTATGCAGGTTTTAGAGAAGACCAAGGGAAGCTATTTACAGTACCTGTCAAGGAATATTAGCCCTTCAAAAACTGTCTTCATGTGACATATCAAATTGAGAATCAATACTCAGAAATCAGCTGTTATCCTCGCAGAACAAGAGTAGAGGCAAATCTATCTCCATCTTCTCTCTTTCTAAAAGCAACCTTCAATGCCCTTCACTCTCCCCAAACCAGAGACAAATTTATCTCCACCCTCCCTCCAAGATTAACCCTTGTCAATGTTTATCACAATCCCCAACCAGGTGGGCAGAAACAAAGTATCTACCTGGATCTCAATCATTAATACAATTTTTTTTTTAATTTTGCAACTCCAATAAAATTCTTAATGAGAAATTGGAATAAACTGAAGAAGCTATGGTTTAAGAAGTTTTTAAATTGAACATTGAATAAACTTTATTTCAGGCCTCAAGCACATGAAGGTGATTATGTCTACAGTCTTTGTGTTTTATTATATCATCATAGAATACCAGGTTGGAAGGGACCTCAAGAATCAGCTGGTCAAACTTTTCTTGGCAAAAGCACGGTCTAGACAAGATGGCCCAGCACCCTGTCCAGCCGAACCTTAAGAGTGTCCAATGGTAGGGAATCCACCACATCCCTGGGGAGATTACTCCAACAGCTGATTTTTCTCATTGTGAGAAATTTTCCTCTTGTGTCCACCTGGAATCTCCCCAGGAGTACCTTGTATCCATTACCCCTCATCTTTTCCATTAGACTTCTTGTAAAAAGAGAGTCTCCATCTCCTTTGTAGCCGCCCTTTAAATACTGAAACATGGTGATAAGGGTGTCCCCTGAGCCTTCTTTTCTCAAGGCCAAACACACCCAGTTCTCTCAGCCTTTCCTCATATGGCAGGATTCCCAGTCCTCTGATCATCTTTGTGGCCCTTCTCTGGACACTCTCCAGCCTGTCCACATCTTTTTCATATAGCAGGGACCAAAACTGAACACAGGTGTGGCCTGAGAAGTGATGAGTAGAGTGCGATAACGACTTCTTTATCTCTGCTGGTGATCCCCTTGTTGACGCAACCCAGCATCCCGTTGTCTGTCTTTGCCACAGCAGCACGCTCCTCACTCATGTTAAGCTTGTTGTCCACCAGGATCCCCAGATTGCTGCTCACCAGCCAGGCACATCCCAGCCTGTGCTGCACTCCTGGATCATGGTTTCCCAGGTGCGAGACCTTACACTTGTCTTTGTTGAACTTCACAAGGTTCTTGTCAGCCCACTCTTCCAGCCTATCCAGGTCTTCCTGCAGGGTGGCTTTCCCTTTTGAAGCATCCACTCCTGCACGCAGTATGGTATCATCAGCAAACTTCATCAGGGTGCACTTGATCCCATCATCCAGATCACTTATGAAGATATTAAACCGTGTTGGGCTCAGGTCACAACCCCGGGGACCTCACTTGTGACAGGTTGCCAATTTGAAAAGGAGCTATTTACCACCACCCTCTGGGTGGGAGCTGTCAGCCACTTCCCCACCCACCGCACAGACCACTTGTCTAGACCATAATGCATCAACTTCTCTAGAAGGAGGCTGGGGGAAACCATAGCAAAAGCCTTGGAGAAATACAGGTGGACATTGACCACTTCTCATCCCACATCAACCAACCAGGTTACTTTGTCTTAGAAGGTGATATGGTTTGTCAAGCACTATTTGCCCTCCTACTTCTTCTTTCTTTTCCTACTCTAGCTTTTGAAAGGGGGATTGTTCCTCAAAAAACTTATTTCAGAAGCAGTTCTGCATTTTAAGATAGCACTTGAAAATGCTGTACATGGCATGAGACTACCTTACACCTCATAAGAGACCTAAAAACACACAAGAACTCACGTGCAGAGTATGACAACAGCTTGAGGAAAGAGGTTCTGATACTGCAGACAACATTGTAAAACACGATCATCATTGTTCTCGTCACTCAGGCCATCTGCAAATTTAGTTCAGACAGTGCTGACACATTCAGAAGTAACTCAACATAAGAAATACTTCAGTGTAGTCATGGTACAGTTTTTAAATGTAATACTGCCCAAACAAGGGCAGATAAGTGTATACTAAGCACAAATCTGAGCTTTGAGTTCTTAAGTACTACTCCACTCAAAAACACTATGGTTTTGCCAGGAAACACCCAGCGAGCCACCCATAAATTTGAGTGTGTCAGATTTTGTGATGACCAAGTCAAAAGTAAAAGCACGCAACATTTCCTTAGCTCACAGGTGTAAGTAGTAACTAGATACATTTTCATTAAGTAATCCCCCCACTTACCAACAGATGCAGCTAAAAGCAAGAAACAATTGATAAAACAATAGTGAACAAAGCACTAATCTGAATAAGGTATTTCCATGCTACAGCCTTGGATACGCTGTGAAGGCTGCAGTAAGCTATTGGCTACTTTTGATTAACAATCTGCATAGTGAAGACTGTATTAAACTCAAAATTTAGTGTTAAGGTTCACACTAGATGAACTGCAAGGACTAAGTACCCAGAACAAACTGATTGCACGTATATTACATATTTTTTGAGAAGCAAGCTGCATGGATTGTCCCCACAATTTTGAGTCTTGGTTTTTGAGACACATGTGGATGAACTGGACTGCGGGGATAGCTTTGTCCCGAACATGCTGCAACATTTTCCCCTTCTTCAAGTTGTCCAACTCTTGTAGAACAACCCAAGGAATTATTAATCCAAGTCTGCCAACCCCTGGAAACAAACAAACAAACAAAAAGACACAAAACAAACAAACCAAAAAACAAAAAACAGATGTTTTGAAAATCCACAAACTATTAGAGTTATCTTTGAATTCAAACATCATATTTACATAAGCTCATACTTATCTTTTTTTTTTGACAGTGTTTTTCATATTCCATGCTCAAGAGTATCCAGCATTAAAAAATCAGCAACTGAAAAAGGCCAAGTTCCCTCTTTCTAATCTAACCTTAAACTGGCACTACATTGGTTACACGTAAAAATAACAATATTATGCAAACAAAAGGAATAAATAATTTTAATCAACAGACTACTTTGACAACAGTGTGTAGCAATGTTGTAAAATATATTTCCAGCAATTAACATCCTATCACACCCTCACTGTAAGATGTTAAAGCAAGGTGACAGCAGCTGAAAGAACAGGCTGAAAATACCTGAATGACCACAACAGTCACTGTGGAAAAACAACCATCAAATAAAAGGAGCAATGGTTTGTGCTAAATGCCAGCCAGAATTCCTAAGCAAGGAATGGGAAGTATGGATATTGGACCATGGTTTTATTTGCATGCAAGTATGGTTTGAACTTTAAAACCATTATATATGAAAGACATGGTCAATCAGAAATGTAATGACTGTTCTGTTGGTCCACCCACAACAAATACTTCAACTGTTTTCTTTCCCATTCACATTATAAGAATACAATTTTGAAAGAACACATTAATATCCATCTGCTTTGTAATAAACAAGTCAGGAATCAGCAACTTTTTGCATAATGGTTTCAGTGTAGGACTAGAAATTAGGAGCTGTAATGTTCTAAAAAAGGCATCTGAGACAGCAGCTCCCAGTGTACACAATTGCAACACCATTCCTAATATGGGAAAGACAAATACAGTCCGACACACTCCTGAAAATTACTCAGGCCCTTATTAAAGCCATTTTCCAGGTGGCTGAAATAAGTGTGTTCATTATCCCAAAGCATCAAAGCATCCTAAGTATTCCAATAGATTCCAAATACGTCTACTAACAACTGACACACAGGATTCTAATCCCGTTAACATTAAATCACTAAAAGCTTCACAGTATATTGAAGCCAAACATTAAAGCCAGGATCTGCAATCTGAATTCCTGAGAAATTGCTCACGCATCTTGTGTATTCTGTGACCTTCATCAAGACAGAAATAAGCACTGACTGCTTATCAGATTTTAAATATTTTTAGATTCTTAGAAAAAAAAGCTAAACAGAGAGTAGAAAACATTATTACCACTAGTAATGGATTAAATGCTTAAAAGTATGCTCTTACAATAGGTAAGACTTATCTACCTCTAAGAATTCACACACATTCCTGAGAACATTGACCATGATTCTCTGTAGGTACGCAGGTATAAGCATATTAAGTTCTACCTTCATATCTCAACCTTCCTGAAGAGGCAGCCTATTCCGGTTCACAGAACCCCCCACTTAAGTGTGAGCATTCTGCCTCTATATGAAACCTGCTGCCATTTTAAGGAGCCAGGTTTGTTTTTCTTCACATAGCCTGAAGTTTTTACATCATCTGTTTTTTCTTATTGATCACCATATATTCACATACCTGGTATATCCTCAGATTTCAGGGATCTGACAAACTCAAGGTGGCTAATCATTATATTTGTGTCAATCACCACTAATATGTTCAGTCCAGAAGTCAAAGCCTCTGGGGGAAAAAAAGAGGAAAAAGAAAACCAGTTGTAAAACAAAACAAAACAAAACAGTTGTGTACTCTCTACTCAGACCATTAACTGACTGTAATAACTAGTTGCAAGTAGATACCAAAGAACATCAAATCATGACATACCAGCAGAAATATTTAAATCCTGTTCTGGAAGATCTATTTCCATACTTGTAAGTTCTCCACAAGCCTGTACTACAGGCAGTGCCATCCTCTTCTGAACACGAGCAACATGCAAATCTTCAATTATCTGCATCTACAATGAAAAAAAAATTGCATGTATGAAATAAATTGCAAGCAATCACTTATGAATTGCTCCTGAAAAAAAGATACTTTCATATTAATGCTGCTGTGTTAAAACTGACTACAAATCAAGCATGAAAAATTTTAAGTTGGCACAGCAAATGTGAAGCCATGAGATAGCTACAGTGTATAAGCAACTATGAAGGCCCCCTATGTTGCAGAGAACACCAGAAAGGTAATCTTTCTACCTCAGAAAGGTAATCTTTCTACCTCAGAAAGGTCCTGATTAGCAGTACTTTAGCAAGTTTGTTTAGTATTTGAAATAAAATGCACACATTTTTTGCAGCATAGATCATAAGGCAACAATGGAAAATACTAGGAAAGGTCATGGAATTGTCCAGCTATACAACCTCGGTGCCATGAGTTTTTAATACAAGTGTTAAATTAAAGCATTACTAACCTCTTGGTCTGTTTCAGAGTTCTGGCTATCTTGAAGGGGTGGAAAGACTTCAAAGCTCTACAGGAAGAATTAAAGAAAGTCATACGAACAACACAAAATATCAAGGAAGACTGAGGAACAAGTGATCCCCATGCCAAGAGTTTCGGAATATAGCTCCTTAGTGTCAAACAAGTACATCACTAACCTTTTGGACAGACTTCATGTCCTCACCTTCTTGGTAGGAGTCAGACGTGCAAGGGACCTCAAAATTCTAGAAACAAGTAGGAATGGAAGTAGAACATGTAGCAGTCTTTTAGAGCACTTTTCAAAGAACACAGAATATTCCCAAGTGAAAAGGTAACGTAAAACATATTTTCAATATCCATGATGAAGCACCTATAGTATCATTTCAAAAGGGCTGAGAAGGAAGGCTTTCTTTTAAGATAAATACAGTGGTTTACACAGTCTGTTTTTCCAATCTCTCAGGGGTTTGTGACTATGTTATTCTTGCTCTGGGCTCACCAGTACAATACAGACACGAATTTAATGGAATGAGTACAGCAAAGGGTCACTAAGATGATTAAAAGACTGGGGCATGTCATAAAAGAGGCTAAAAGAGCTGGGACTGTCTGGCCTGACAGGCAAGTCAAGGGGGAGTCTTATCAATGTTTATAAATATCCGACAGGAAGGTGCAAGAAGATGGAACCAGACTCTTAGTGGTGCCCAGTGCCAGGACAAAAGGCAACGGGCACAAACTGAAACACAACAATTACAACTGAACATTAAAACCCTCACTTTTTTTACAGCAAAGGTGCTTGAACAGGCTGCCCAGAGAGACTGGGGAGTCTCCACCCTTAGAGATAAGCAAAACCTGACCAGATACAGTCCTGAGCAACCTGCTTTAGCTGACCCTGCTTAAGCAAGGGGGTTGGACTAGACTATCTCCAGAGGCACCTCCAACCTCAATGATTCCACAATTCTGTATGTAATCACTATCTTTGCACACACGTAAAATGATTGCTCTACCACAACGTGAACTGAAATCTCCAAAAACACTAGGCATGTTAAACAAGAACGTCAACCAGAAAGTTACCACGCTCAAGATAAAGTTCAGGTGCAGAGCCAAATACAAGCTAGAACTCAGAAACAAACCGATCACAGCAGAACGTGAAGTTCTGCAAGGAACCTGGTCTAGAGGAAGGTGTCCCTGCCCATGGCAGCAGGGGTGGAACTAGATGATCTTTAACATCCCTTCCAACCCAAACCATTCAGTGATTCTATGAAATGTACAAATTCAGTCCTAGATCTACAAGTTCTCTTGACATCATTTTGCCAGCGATG